TTGATGCTGCAGGGCCTGAAGTTATATATATTATCCAGAGTTACCCAGTAGTGTAGTGGAAGAACTGGCCCAAAACTCTGGGTTTCTAACTCCCCCACCCAACATTTTTGTCATTGTTTTTGTTTTCCCTGAAAAATCTTTCAGGACTCTCTTTGCCTAATACTATGCTGACATGTGCACAACACTTTACAGTTTCCAAAGTTCCTTTATATACACCCCATCATCCAGGTAAACTTTGTTCTTCCCACTTGGTAGGTGAGAATCCCAAGGCTCTGAGAGGTCAAGTGACTTACACGAGTTCAGCCAGCTAATAATCAAGAGGAGGATCTTTTGCTGCCTGAATACTACCTTCTCCTTCCATCTCCTGATGCCTAAGATTTCACCACTGGAACTTTATTCCTTTAGCTTAAAGCGTTGGCCATCTTTTAATTCCAAAATCCTCCAGGAATGATCATATCTAAGCTAGTGTCAGTCACTGGTACCTTAATATACATGAATTTAGAATCTTTGCTGAATGCATTTTTTAAAATATGGAGATGTTAAAGAAAATAGGGGTCTGAAGGCCCGCCCCCCTGCGCCCCCGCCCCCCGCTAGAAGAAACCCTACCATGAGAATATGTGGAGGGGAAGCTCCATACGATTCCCACTTTGGTCTCAGGCCATTGCTTTCATCATCTGGTGATTTTTGAAAAATTTCCATCAGAGGCATCTTATTACCAGATATGTAGAGCAGTAAGGACCGGGGAAAGAGTGACCGAGCCTCTGCACTTTTGGGGAAGGGAACCTCAACCATGTGACTCAATGGGTTTCTGGCTTCTGGACAGACAGCATTTTGATATTTAAACTTTAATGTGAGTGACTTAGGAATAGTTTTGCAGACAGTGTCAAATGCCTTCTCTTGCCATGCAGGAGCCAGGAAGCCAGGAAGGACCAGCACCAAGGGTCCAGCCAGGCAGGAAAAGGCATTCATGACTTTGACTCTCAGGGCCTAAGCCCCTGTTTTGTGCCATGCATGTGCTGTGCTAGGGTGCTGGGGGAGCAAGGCATGCTCCCTGCCCTTGATGAGCTCATAATCTAATGAACCCTATAAGTCCTGAGCTTTGCATAGAAGCCCAGGAGATGCCTGAGACAGGAAGAACTGGCAGCCTTGGAGGTCCAGGAGAAGGGAGGGCAGAGTCCAGAAGAGCAGAGATAATGCCCCAGGAGCAGGTGACACCCAGGTGAGCTCCATTGTAGGGTGGAGGCTATTTATCCTCTGTCCACGTCTACACCCGCTGGTGAATGTGTGGGTGGGGGTGGGGGCATGGGGAGTGGTTGGAGGAGGTCTGCTCAGCACTTTTAAAAGCTGTTCCAGGAGCCAGTGGGAGAGGCAGAGCCACACAGTTCTCCTTGTTCGTGCCATTCTGCTCGTGTCTTACCAGTCCCTAAACCTCTATTCCTGGGCTTTCCTTGAAGCCACTTCTCCCTCCTAGTAGGTGAAACCAAGATGAGGGCTCCCAAGGAAAGAAGAAGCCAATTCTTTAGCTCATTGCCCAACGAAAGGTGCTCAGGAAAAACTTGGCTAGGAAAGCTCTGGGGAATTAGGACTCAAGTGACAATGCAGGGGACAGAAGATCTCTTGATGGTGTTTATCAAGCCTGAGTACAAAGACCACAGGTCAAAGAGCAGGGAAGAACCTGGCCATGCTGGCAAGGTCCAAGGAAAAGCTAGATGTTATAGCAGGAAGGGCTAGGGAAGGGAGAAGGTGTAAGGAGGAAGAGCAGGGCTGAGGAGCCTAGGAGAGCCCAAATGGTCCAGGACAGCAAAGGGCATCCCATCTAAGTGCAGAATGGGGAGGTCTGAGGGCCACTCTCCTTGAGCCTCAGTAATTAACCAGTCTCTGTGTACCTGAAGACAGAATTAACAGGCAAAACAAACTCCTTTGATGTAAGCATGTAGAATGTCTGGGGAGAAAGAGGGACAAACACATGAGAGAGCAATCTTGCATTAATATGCAAACAAGTCTGATGGAAAAATATTACCAAAGGCAGAGAGACCAAACAAAGAAATAGAATTTTGGGAAAACAGGCCCCTGACTGAATGGGCCTCCAAGATATCTTGGGCCCCTGGAAACATCTTGTCTGGCCTCGCTGGGCACTGCAAAAAAATCACTACTTTTCTTTGAAGGAGTTCACATATTTTTCTCAGGCCAGCTGCCTTCTCATCTACTACCTGTTCTCTGCAAAAACTGCCAGCAAGTCTCCAAAGAGGCCTGTTTATTTATGGAGTCAAAGCCCCGGAGAAAGTAAGGTGCAAAAGGCTTGAGTACCTCCTCCTGGGAAGCAAAGCTAATAGGGAATGGAGTTGAGCTTGTAACCCAGCATCCTGGATGCCTGTCCTGTGATATAACCCCGAAACGCCACTCTTTCTGTGGGGGCCAACTTTATTAGAGGAACTGATAATTGAGGGATGGTGTGGGAAGGGGGAGAGAGCAATAAGATGCCGACATGATTTAACACTTGATGGGCTCTGGAAAAGAAAAATAAGGAACGGGGCTTGGAGCTTTAGCTTGGCGCCTTCATCGTTCCACATACATGTTACCAAAATGAATATACGCGACTACTATCTGTGGGCTAGAGTCTGGGGCACAATGGCACAGACTTAGTGAAACAAAAAGGCATTTCTCCTGCCTCCACTGAGTCTCTTGTGGTACTATTGTCTGATGCTAAGAACTCACATAATAACAAAAAACAATGCCCCTATGAAGGGGGGGAAATTGATTTGGCACCAGCAGTGGTGTTTTCCATGGGAATGACGGTGGGGGCTGTGGCTGACTGTGGGAATAGTGCAAATCAGCACTTTTTTGTAGATTTTCTTCAAGCCATTGTTTATTTTGGCTTTGGTCAGATCCGTGGCCCAGCTTGAAGATTCCCACTGGGCTTTCTGAAGCTCACAGACCTATGAGAGATGAAACAGGGATAAATAAATAATTACAAGACACCCTAACCCCCGCCCCGGCACTCATGTGTGGGGTGTGCCTATCTCGGTGACTGTGTGTAGACATGCATGTTGGGTACTGTACTGCATATGTACACATTTGGTGTGCCCACCAGGGTGAAAACTCAGGTTTTCTTCGGGCTTAGCTGGTTCATTGTCTCACTATCATCTTTCACTTAGGGCAAGGGAGATCGGGGCTATTTTACACAAGTGCTGGTTTTTGCAAGATAGCATTAGATAAAACTTGTTTGAAACTATACATTCCTAAAGTCCTTATACTTATAAACACTTTTAAACATGAGTCACTCAGGTTGTAGTCCCAGCAGGAAAAAAAGTCAGTAGTTGTTCTGATAATGGAAGGTAAACTTTTATTTTACAGCTCTTAGGAGCTTCTACTCTATCCTAGCTAAAGGATGCAGAGATCAACCATGCAAAATTTGTCACAGGACAGAAAATGGACAGACAGTATATGTAGTATGATTATATTATGGTCCCAAATGTGAATACATTGGCTTTAAAATGCCAGTTACTGATTGCTCCTGTCATATCAGCAGCAGGTTATTACATTCTGAAAGTACACAAGACTTTCTTGAAGGTTCTGTGAGGGTACGTGTATTCTAAGTTTTACATAATGAATGTTTTACAAAGAAATGTACTTTCTCTCCTTTTTAAAAAAGTTTCCATTTCCAGTAAGTGTCTTCCAGACAAATGTGTATGAAGCTGCTTCTGAGCAGGGTGGTGGGGTTGCTCAACTGCAGGGGGCGGTATTTAATGTGCTTCTGTGTAAATGGTTCCCCTGGAGGAAAATTCCAGTTGGCCTTGCAAGGTGACAATACTTAGATGGGTTTGTTGCAGAGATGTTTTCCAACAAAATGCAGAAGAGTCTTGTTTGCTTCAGCTTGCCATCCCCGCCCCCAACAACTTAGAAGCAATTAGGGGACCCAGGCTGTTATCTGGGTCTTGATTGAAAGAAACAGATCTTACCATGGGCCAGGTAGTGTGCTAAGTGCAGATATGATTTAATCAGCACAAGAACCTTATCAGAGTTTCATGGATGGGGAAACAGGCCAAGAGCGGTTAGGGAACTTGCCCAAACTCACACAGCCTGTGTGCTTCAGAGCTGGATTTGAACCCTTCTCTGTGACACTCCCTAATGGCCTTCAGCGAGCCCTCTGACTCCCACCATACCTCCCAAGCCTGGAAAGCATCCCTGTTTCCCGCAGATCCTGACTGGGTGATAGCAGCACAGTAAAAACAACAGTGTCAGCTGGGGGTAGGAGTCTTCAGAGCCAAAAGGTGGAATTCAGCTGGGGTGGGGGTGTGGGTGGGGGTCCCGGCCTGCCATTTCGGCTGCTCTGTCAAATAAAGGGTGCCAGGTGTGGAAGCACCCTAGTGTGAGCTTTGCACAGCTGGACCAAGGCTGGGAAGAGGAGTGTGGAGAGAGAGGCTTACATCTCCTCCCCCTTCCTGGAAAATAACTTTGCATTTGAAGGAAGAAAGAAAGAGTGAGTAAATCTGTAACTGGGATTTGGTGGCCTGGGGATTTCATTTGACCCCGTGAAGGCACATGCCTGTGCCTGTCTATGTGCAGGGGTGTGTGAATTGGGGGGAGGAAACTTCAGGTTACATGCGATGGGGTTTTCGGATTGGGTTTTTATTAAAAAAAAAAAGTCATAGCAGCTACCATTTAATAGGGACCCACTCACTATGTGCGAGGCATTGTGCTGGACCGTTCACGAGGTCTTAATTTTATGTGAAGAAAAAAATAGCTTACTAGTTTGTTTTTATGCAGGTCCACTCAGAGGCGTCGAGTATTTTTTCCATTAGTGTTGAAATGCAGTGCTCTGCTCTGAGGTAAGATTTGGGGAGAGGCGGGTAAGGGTGCGGGGACGGGCAGAGGGCGGTCCCTGCCTCGCTTGTCTCCACCTTTTATTTTGACCGGTCCGATGGCGACAGGCTCGCACTAGGACCCAGGCGCCAGAGCGCCTCCGTCTGTCCTGTAGGTTCATTCAATCTCCCATACACACAGACCCACTGCGAGACCGACACACTCACACACACTCACACACACAACTGCACGCAGCGAGGCTCGGGAAGTCAGGTCGCCTCCTCGCCTCGGCGCCTCCTCCGCTCCAGCCAGCCGGGTCTCCTCTGGGGACCGGAGCTCGGCCGGGCAGCGCAGCCCCAAAAAAGGACGAGCTCAGCGGACCCCGGTTCCTCCATGGGCAAACGCGGGCGGCCGCGCAAGGAGGCGCGCTGTGAGGGCGCGGGGCTGGCCCCCGCCGCGCCCCCGGCGGTGGCCGCGCCCCAGCCCCCGGCCCAGCCCGAGGAGCCCGCGGGGACCAAGCTCAGGTGCCCCTTCTCGGACATTTTCAACACCAGCGAGAACTCGATGGAGAAGCACATCAACACTTTTCTGCAGAACGTGCAGATTCTGCTCGAGGCCGCCAGCTACCTGGAGCAGATCGAGAAAGAAAACAAAAGTAAGTTTAGGGGCCCCGGCTGCTCCTCGGCGCCCGGCTCTTTCTTTCTCAACCACTTGGGCGACCCCTGTCGCCTGCTCGGCCCGCGCCCCCCCTCCCCCCAACACACACATCTAGCCCTCGGCTGTAAAGCCGATGACACCGGAGAAAGGACACGCACGCACAAAGCTGCTAAAGATGTAACAAAGACGAGCGGGGGGGGGGGGGGGGGGGCTGTCGGTACGTCTGTCAGTCGGTCTCCAGGAGGCTGGGAGGACCGCCGGGTGGACAAGCGGGGGAGTGTTGTTTGCTGACAACTGAGCCCAGAGCTCATCTCTTCGAGGTCGCCTTTCTTCCTTCTCCCGCCCCCCCCGCCCCCCCTTCTTGGGCAGACAAGTGTTGTTTTTCTGTCGCTCGTTCCTGGGTGGGGTGGGGATTAGAAGCCGAAAGTTGGAAATCGTAGGCAGAGCTCAGCGGTTCAAGAAAAAAAAAAACACACAAGAGACACACACAACAATAACAACAACAACCAAACAGCCCTCCGCGGCGTGGGCTTGGTCTGGCTGGCTCGGCTCGGCTTCTCCCTCCTGTCTACTGTGCTTTTTCCTCCCCTCTCGCAGCAAGGCTCCGGCCATCGCGTCCACGGATACAGTCCCCCAGCACCTCTGTTGCCCTGGGGTGCCGCCACCCCCCCTCCCCCAAACAGGCCGGCTGGGCCAGGCGGCGCCAGCAGCTCGCCCCGGACCCGCCGTCCTGCGCCGGGGAAACTTGGCTAGGGGGACACAGTTAAAAGGAAACTTTGGGATCTCGCAGGAAACAATAGTTGGGGAAGAAGGTGTGGGCTGTTGTGTGCGGTTTCTTTATTTTCCGCGAGACGACTTACGAGCGAGCGCGCCTGGCAAACGCCTGCCTTGTCGATTTCTGCCGTCCTCCTGCCCCCCCCCGCCCTCGCGGATTCAGGTGGAGAGCAATGTTTGGTGGTGGTGGTGGTGGGGGTGCTGGGAGCCCCACCCCGGCCTGGCCTCCTTTTTGTATTTGTTTCATTTTTGCCCCTGTCTGCTGGGTCCCCCAGTCCTCCCAGGCAGTCGACTCAGCGTCCTAACGGGGGCACGCGTGTGCGGCGTCTCCAGCATGGTCCTCACAAATAAGAGCTGCGAGAAGGGGGAAGGGGTCGAGGCAGATAAACCGATGTACTGGAGAAAACCAGACTGTTTAATCTGTCCGAACAAGTAGGAAGATCAATGAGACGGGGGGGGGGAATGGTCCGATTGCAACGTGTCAGATCTTGCAGCCTCCTCCCCCTGAAACACAACAACAACAGTCCTCAAACACAAAAACACCTTAGCTGACCAACACCCCAGGCCTTCAGGGTGAAAGTAACCGTGTGTTGCCAGCGCCAGTTGTGCAGTGGCTGAAGGCAAAAACAAGGATTTGTGTTGGGAGGACGGTTGTGTATGTTCTTTTCTTTCTCTTCTCTCCTGTTTTCTCGGAGTGCCAGGGCTGCGAGAAAGGCGCATCGCTGGCTGTGTAGCCGGCTCAGTTTGCGATTATTCATGGGCGGGGGGGGAGTGCATTCGTCTGGAGGGTAGTTTCTGAAAAGACAGAGCTGGTGGGGAGCTGGGTGAAGACGTGGTTTTGTTTGGTGTGTTTGCTTTTGTTGGAGGGGGGAGGGGCGCGATTTCTTTAGCTACCCCTCACCCCTGTCCGGGGTTCTCCGGAGTCCGTCCCGTGGTGCCGACTCTGGCGGGGGGTGCACCCAAAGAGGGCACCTTGGCAGTGTGTGGCAAACCTGGTCCCCCACCCCCGCCAAGCATGGTGTACTAAGGAGGTGGCTGGAGCTTCCACCGCGTCCCGCCCCCCCCTTCGCACCCGCAGACAATCAGAGACCTCCGCCCCCGCCCCCGCCGCCTCCCCGGCGGCGTCCCCGGCCGCCCTGGCCGCCGCCACCTCCTAGTTTACCCCGTGCCGGGGCTCCGGCGTGGCCACCAGTCACGTAAGCAGAGGGCCGGGCGCGCCGGGCCGGGCTACCCCGCACGGGGCGGGCCAGCGGCAGCGGAGCGGGGCTCCTGTGGCGGAGGAAGTCAGGGGGCTTCCTCCCGGTCCCTCTCCCGAGTGACCGCACTGCAAGCCCCGCAGCCCCCGAGAGGGGTTCGGGAGCCTCAGCGCCCCAAAGTCAACTTCGTGTGCGTAATGAGCCCCTCGGCCCTACTGCCCCCCCTCCGGCCGGCTCCCCGCGGGAGTATTTTTAGCTCTCTTGCCTCTATTTGCCGCCGCTGTTTGGCTCTGCATGACGTGATGCCAACGGCCCCCAGATTTCCCCGAGAGCGTGGGGCGCTGCGCCTTGCCCGGCTTGGCTGCGGGGGCCCAGCTCCAGGCCCTCGCCCCCTCCCCAATAGCTCTCGCAGGCGAGGGTGACCTCCAGCAAACTACGGGCGACCATCGCCGGGCCCTCTATTATGCCCCTTGCAAACAGAAGCGGCCCACGGGGGCTGCTTTATTCTCCCCACTTTCGGTTCCCCCCCCTCCCGCCAGGTCTGGGTTTCCTGGTACGGAAAACGGCGGGCCCTACATCTGCCTCATTTTACTGGGGGAGCTTCTTCGCGCTGGCGGCGCTCGCCGTTGTTTTCTGCTCGCTGCACACAATGCCCGCGCGTCACGGCGGTCCGCGTGTGCACAGCAATAACGCGAGTTGGGGGGCGGGTCGTGCGTGCGCCGGGCTCGGGCACTGCGGGTCGCTCCGCGCGCGCGGGGCTTGTTTTGCTTCAGAGCCCCGCTTTCCGAAACGCTTACATCATTCAGTCGTTGGGGGAGGGAGGGGGATCTGGGCGTTCCGATAGGACTCCAGCATTTCTCAGGTCCCTGGTTTTTGGAAGGAAGCAGGGATCCTAGTTGTTTAATTATTATTATGATGGGAGGGGGCTCAAGCTTTGTTTGTTGGGCAAGTTTTTTTTTTTTTTTTCTTTTTAGGTCACTACTGCAAAGGGCATTGCTGGCCGGCTCAGGTGCACAACCTCCCCGCCTTCATTTCAGCCAGTTCCCCTGTAATCACTTGATCTCAGTTTCTCCGCCTCCTCCTCCTCCCCCTCCTCCCCCTCCCAGCTAGAGACACATGGTTTCCACATGGAGACAAACTTCTTTCCTCTGACTGGACTTGACCTAGCTGCGTTGTTCAGCCTATCGCCAGCTTCAGCTTTCTCTGACGTCACGCGTTGCTGAGGCCAGAGACTGGTGGGTGGGGCCAGGAGGCAAGCCAGGAAATCTCTGGGAGCTGTAGCGTGGCCAGCTGGTACAATCCCTTCTTAAAGGGACGCTCTTCTCCCCAGAGATGGGTGTCAGCCTTGATTCTCCATTTCGGGTTCTGTGAGACCTTTCCGAAATGCACCAGTAGACCTTGGTCACGAGTTCACACGTTTCGTTTTTACTGTTGTTTGCAAAGTACTTACTTGGCAGGAGCTTGCCTTATTTTCCATTGTTGCCAGAACTGCTTTTCATTGCCTCTTTGAGGTTTCCGTAGTAGGAGTGCTCACCAAGCTGTGGCCCCAGTGTTGAATTATTCCCAGTAGATATGGTGAGTCTCTTCGGGGAGAGGGTGTTCAAATTAAGTCACCCAGTATTACAAGACAAGGATTCCCAAGGATATGCGGGTACATTTTCCTGACGTTCCAAAACCTTAAGGATCTCAAATTAAAGGTCTCCAGAAATATTAATCATGGAGACTAGGACCGGTTATCACAAAATCAGAAGTTATGTGTAAATCACCTCTGACATCATCTCCTATATCCATTTGGGGTCCAGTGAAAGGGTGGCAACTTAGGACCGACTGATAATTAGACAAATATTTACTTCCTGTTTTGGAAAAGGTTAAAACTGAAAGGGAAAAAGAACCAGCCTCACAGAAAAGCTGCAGCGGGGCAAGTAGAAGCTACTCTAACAGGTAACGTCCAGAGGATAGAAATGGGTTTCTCAGTGTCTGCAGAAGGTCTCTTTGGGGGCAATGCTTTTGAGAAGAATGATTACATGGGAGTAGATGGCATGGATTGCTCTCTGGAGTGGATTATGTGGGTTTGAGGGTGAGGTGCTTTCTTAGGGGCATGGACAGGCCAAGGAGCAGCCTCTTCCTCCTGATGGAGGAAGCTGCTGCTTTGTGGCATCATTTGGCCCCACCCCGCCTTCCTCTCTTAATCTGCTCTGCTCCTGTCCAGCAGGTCCACCAGCAAGCACGCTTCGCAGTCATGACTCCGTGCTTGACTCAGACTCTTCCCTCTATCTAGAATGGCTTCATTCTCTTATTCCTCTGAGGTTATTTGTATCTTACTCACCCTTCAAGACCTAGGTCAGCTCCCACCTCCTCTAGGAAGCCTCATCTGGCTATTTCTTAATTCACGGTAGTTGAGAGACTGAAAGTTTTACAGTTACCCAAAACAGGGCCCAGATTCCTCCTTGGCTGCTTACTGGCTTTGTGACTTTGGGTACAAGTTACCTAACCTCTCTGGGGTTCCATTTCTTTTTTGTAAATTGAGGATAACAGTAGAACCAGTCTTATATCATTGCTGAACAACTAAATGAGGTACTCCATTTAAACATTTAAAGTCCCTGGAATATAGTAGGTGCTCAATAAATAGTCTCTTCTCTGAGCTTTGATAATCGGTAACCATGCAATCTTCTACTTGCTTCCTGTGTATTAGCTTTATCCTCCCGGGGAGGTGATTAATAACTAAGGGAAAAGATCACTTATAGCATTTCAGTATAGGCCACCATTGCATATAGCACACCACTGGGCATACAGAGACACTTGATATACATTCTTTGATTGGTTGGATTTATCATTTATTGGCTATGGCACAGTGATCAGGTTTGAAGGCCAGGAGACACAGTAAAGACTTTCTGGGGACTTGGAGAAGAGTTGGAAATACTGATCTCTTCCAAGGAAAGAGGGTCTCCCATAATCAACACAGACTGCCCTTGGCCTATAAAGCAGGGGCAGCACAGAGATGATAGGTTAGGCCTGGAGAGTTGAAAGT